AATGCGTTTTTGTGACAATTATTTGATATGAAAAAAATAAGGAATTATGATTGAACAGTTTGAAAACAAAAAAAGAAATGGGTGTATCGTACTGTACAATTAATATAATTACTACTTAATTGATAACAAATTTATCTTTTTATTAATTAATTTCGTTTTCTATTTTAAAAATTACTATTCTATTATATAATATTATAATAACAATTTAAAATTAACATTTGTAATTCGTCTTAATAACTTTTCATTTTTAATGATTATATAAACGAAATAATTATTTAAATTTTTGTTTTCAAAACAACTTATTTATGTTTTTATAGTAAATAAATACAGTAAAAATAATTCAATTGTTTTTTTGACAAATAAAAAGGATATAAAATGTCTTTGTTTACTTATGTTTGTGTTGAACGGTTGAATAAATTGTTTGTTCGTCTTCTTTGTTTCCTCCAAGTGTTCGTACAGCTGAGTAATCAACTTTTTGTTCTTCTTTATCTTGTTTCCAAATAGGATAGTAAATTCCTTCATTTTTAGAACCTTCTTTTAAAGATGTTTTTGAATGGGAACTTGTTGTAGATTCTTTCCGTTTTACAGTGTTTGATAAATCATTATAAGGAAGTTGATAATCTTCAGAAAGGCTTGGAGATTTGGGCACGGAATAACTCCTTCGATCTGAATCATAACCGCCCACTGCTCCTTCGTCTTGAGGTTCGATGGCATCAAATGGATTTGAATAATCTGATTCGGGCTTTCTTAAAAATCCAATTGGTCGATTTTGGACCGGTTTTTGTCTTTTTAGTCCTCTTCTAATGGCACCATGTTCTTGTGTTGTTGGAGAAATTGGTCTAACCGGGAAATGTGTCTTTGGGGTTTCGGATTTTAATTCTTCGCCTTCTATGTGTATTTCACTGTCACTAAAATCTTTATATAAAACAATTTTATACCTTTTTGAAATATCTTTACCAGAAACTTCTATATATGTACAAAATTCTTTAAGATTTGAAATTGCGATTGGAATGTTATATCTTGATTGAAACAATGGGTATCTACTCAGTACAATGAAAAGTCTCAACAACTTTTCAAAAAGTGAATGTG